GTCTTTATAAATGTTGTGCTTCCTGTCAGGACTCTGGAGGAGCAGGCGAAGCCCTCAGCAGCCGTCAGCGACCCTGCAAGTGTGACCGCAGCTCCCACATACGTGGACAGCCCCCGCAAGGTGAGGATGTTGTGTGCGCCCGGCAGAACGCGTCCTTTTGCTTCAGCGCTGAGCTTTTGCAGACACGTGTGCGTTGACGGTGCTTTGGTGTGGAGCTCTTGTTTTCTCTCCTTCCATGTGCTTCCTCCTGTGATCTGTTTGGTTCCTGTTGCTTTGGGTGTTTGATCCTGGGTTGTGTTCTTCCTGTGTGCTGACAGGACGCCGCCTTTATTTTGGATTTTATACGTAGCCCTCGTTCCTCCTACATCTGTCACTCTCAGGTTAGTATCGGGGTTGCTGGGTGTGCATGTGTGTGTCGTTTGCTTTGCAGCAGTGCTCGTTCACACGTGATCCTCGCACTGGGATCACGTTTGTTTGCATGTTTTATAGCTGCTTATTGCTAAAGCGTTGACTCTAGTGTAGATTAGTAATAATCCAGTGCAGTTTCTGCTGGTTTCTGTCACAGACTCGGTTCTGCATCACTAACATCTTCAGTTTCTCCACCCGTCCTGTTTCATGCACGATCAGGGCGGGCCACACATGTGGTGCCTGTACATGCAGATGTTAGATAGTGTGCACGTCTGTTGTACCTGACCACATCTGTTCATGTATTGTCCTTATGCTGATGCTTCCATTAATGACGACTGTATAAACACAGAGACAAACTATAGAGCAGCGGTGTCAAACTCGTGGCCCAGGGGCCACTTGGGGCCCGTATATTAACATGTAGAAATTAGGGCTGTCAACGTTAACGTGTTAACACGTGTTAATCCGTCGTCACGGTTACGCAATTCAAATTGTCAACACAATGAACGTCTGGAGCAGAATGACTCAGCTTATTGCACCAGCAGCATCTGCTCTTATATAACTATCATTAGCTTACAGCTTTAAGTGTTTAAGGTATGTGCTAACTAAAAATAAAGAC